GTACCTGCCGCCTTCATTTCACAGACAAACTGGTACCTATTCATCATAATCTGGGTGAATTTCAAACCACCAGTAGAAATGGAAGCCTAATTCTACACAATCACAATGTGCCCCGTTTCGTCAATAATAAGAGGATACATTCTACCTGTAACAATAAAAAAAGAAATGCTGAAAATGTGCATTGTCATCCCCCAAAAAGTCTTAAGCTAGTCGAACAATGGTCAAAATTTTATTGACGATTTATTCCTGTATCAATTATAAGGCTATTAATTATGCTCTTAGCAGTCAGGAGATAATTAAATATTGTGTTATTATCAAATATACCAGATAAAATTTAAGCACACTAGATAAACGGAAAAAGGTGAACATTTTGATTAACAAAAAATTCTTTCTGACTCTGATATAAAGACAAATTCTGCTAGCAGTGGTTAGCAAATGATTGAAACTTATATTGTCATCAGACATGTGAATTCCAGGGGAGTTTTGAGAGCTCTAGTTAACAGAAAATGATCGTAATTTTGATTAACGATAAATTCTATTGGGTGATAAAATAGCGATCTCACCCTTTTTGTAATGGTCAGAAAAGAATTGAAACTTGTATAATCATCAGAGATTGAGTCTCAATAGATTTTAGTGCTCTGCTTAATCGGAAAATGATCGAAATTTAGATTGAAAGATTCCAACGTCACAGGCTAGTTAATAAAACTTGGTTAAATGTCTAATTTTCTGTCAGAATTTTAAAAAAATTCGTTACTTATGTTCTAAATAAATTTTGAAATAAATAAAAAGTGCATGCTTAATTCTAATTCCATAACAATGTGATTTCTGGAAACATCCTTTTCATTCTATATGTAGTTCAATGTCGAATTTCTGTTCAACATCAACTTGAACTTCTGGCAACATAATTGTCTGCATTAAAAATACATCTTTTGATCTTTGTTATGAAGCGTTAAGCTTCCTGCTTAAAGACAATAACCACAGATTAGTTTCAAAATTGGGTGAAGAATTTCGCTGCTCATTTTGTTGCCATTTTCACCTGACGAAATTGTGAATAAAAGAGGGAAAACAGAACAAAAGTCACGTAAGTGGAAATCGAACATTTTAACTCGTAAGCGACAATAAAATAATAATATTTCGAAACTATCTTAACTCTCAATAAGTAAACAAACAAAACAAAAGGAAGAGATTTTTATTTATTTATTTCCAAGTGGGAAATTCATGAGCCCAAACAAAATAAAAGGCAGACGATTCTTCCGCAGTTGAAATAAAATTGTTCTTTGTTTCCTTTTTTATTATTTTCACCCACATGAAGAAACACCAGGATTTGTGTATGGGTGCATGCGGCACTGGGTCATGGCTAATACTAAATAAACCTTTTTAGAAATTTAAGAATCAGGCTAAATATGATTTTTCATTGTCTTAGTGTGCCATTTATGCGAGCAACTGTTATTTTAGTCAATAAGTCATACGTTTATTTTTATGTTGTCATTGTTTACGATTCTTTTCAAAAGACGCAATTTTGGACATAAATAAAATAAATTGGTACAAAAACAGAACATAGGCAACAAAAATTCAATTTATGAATATGATTTAAACGACGCGTCACTAAGATAATATTAACAAAGTCGTCGTTAAATTTATTATCCAATAAAAACCAGTTTGATTTCACTGATTAAACCTGTAGTATATCCTAATGTTAGAATATAGTAAGATACTAGATACAATAATACATTAAAATGTGCAAACATTAATAGTTAAATTTCGTGCAAAATATAAATTATCGTATTATAATAATCAATCAAAAGTGTCTTGTGTTTTATCCTACATAGGAACTATATTTGGGAATTAAAAAAGCGAGCAACATTTTCAACTAAGTATACATCTTAGACTAATTAAACTAATAAAACATTTTTAAACTAATAACTTTCAAAAATTGTGCTTTTTCGTAATGATTTTGTATTTTTAAATTCAATTATTGAATTAAATAAAATTACATTTATGTGGAGAGCGCAAAAAAATAAACGGACTGCCCAGAATGACTTTTGATCTAATGAACGGATCCTCACGTTCTAGGACTCAATCTTAAAGGTTCGAGAGGATGATATCAAATATGCTAATTAATTAGTGCATACGATATTTTAACTTACTAAATCAGACACAAAAACGTTCTTTATCTGAATAAACATAACTTTTTCAACGGATTCGGATTTCTGACCCCCATAATATAGGGAGGGAATAGCCACAATCTGGGAAATATGGTCCTAACAGCTTGGTCAAGAGAACGATAAGGAAATGAACCCTTGAAGTTAATTTTACTTTTTGCGTATTTCGCAATTTTTGCTCACAATTATAGAATTAGTTTTGCCAAAGATTTCCATGCAAAATTTTTTATTATCAAATTTTTTAATTTTTTATTATTTTATTCAATAATAGTCCAAAGAATTTCGAATTGTAAGATAATCCATTTTTTACATTATTTTAAAGAATGTACTTTTACATGGAAAAATAAAAAATTTAAACAAAATCGGTCGAATAGTTCCTGAAAAATTGAATTTCAAAAAAGTCGCATAGTTCAAATTCCATTTCTCGAGAATTATTCAACCGATTTTGCCAAAATTTTGTATTTTGCCATGTAAAATTGCAAACTTTAAAATTATGCAAAAAATTGTATACCTTACAGTATGGGGACTACAACTATGGACATTAAACTATGGTGACTACATTTCCCAGATTGCGGCTACCTCCTATATTTTGGGAATCAAAAATCCGAAACCGTTGACTAAAGGCATGTTTATTCAGCTGTTTTCGTAACTTAAAAAGTCGGAAGCACTAATTAATTAGCATATTTGAAGTCATCCCCTCAAACCATTAAGATTGAGTTCTAGAACGGGAAGATCTGGTCATTAGATCAAAAGTTATTTAGGGTGGTCCATTTTTCATTTCGAGCACTGTACACCATCTTGCCACAAACGATCAACTTGACTTTAAAACGGACATATAGATTAAGTAAAAAAAAATTTAATTTGGTGTGCTTTTTCCACATTTTTGTGTTTGATTTCGTAACTTAAAATATCGTTTGCACTTATTAATTAGCATATTTGAGGTCACCTCCCCCTACCACAAAATTGAGTCCTAAAACATAAAAATCCGATCAGTAGATCAAAAGTTATTCAGGATGGTCCATTTTTTTTTCTTTCTTTCTTTTTTTGCGCTCTGTACATATTAAAATCTTCTTCGATATTTTAACTATTTTAATAATTAAATTAACCATTTCATAATTCTCAACCCACTAGTTTGCAAAAGGCAATATCGATCAAAATTTAATCGAAATGAATTTTAATCGGAATTATTCATGAAGTCGGAAATTTATCTTCAGTTAGATGGCAAAGAATATTTCGATGCGATAATTTGAGCATTTAAGAATAAATAAACTTCTAGAAAGCTAATATAAATACTTTGAATAAATTACGATTTTCAATTTTTTTAAATCTCAGTGGCGTTTTATAAAAGAGTTTTAGGGTGGAAAGATTGTGTTTTCGATATTTTGAAAATTTTAATAATTTAATTGTTTTTTTAAGGTTTCTGGTAAGGAGAAAATTGGCAATTTCGGCGAAAATTTCGATTTTTTTTTTTTATTATCCATATTTAAACTTTATTTCATAAGCTTTCCTAAATCCTTTAATATTCTTGTCTCCAATTTTTAGAAATAAAGTTAAATTTTCTTTTCAGACGAAACCGTAAATGAACTAACGAAAAAAAAAATTTATTTTTTTTCGTTTGAACCCTTATTTATTAGAATAAATTATATTTTAGGACAAATAAAATTTATTCTCAGAAATTAATTTTCGAATTTTTAATTTTTTTTTTGTTTGTCTTTTTTGCATTTTAGAATTTTCTTGCATTTTAAATGCATTTTCTGAAGAGCATTTATTTTGAGAAAATTTCTTTAACCTAGTACAAATTACCAAAAAAGTTTATTATGAAATTCTTTGAAATTTTGAATGCAATTTTTGTGTAATGTTAGCGATATTTTGAACTAAAAGCTATGGTGTAAGTTTTCTTTTTATCTTGAAGTAAGAATACTTAGATTTTTACAAATTCGATATTAAACAATGTAATTAGGTCTTTATCAGTGTTTATTTCCTTCTTTTTTTTTAAATTTTAGTTCAAAACACAGATATTCACGTTATTGATCTAGAAAAAAATTTTATTTGAAAAATATGCACAGCAATTTTTTGTTAAACTGTTACCATGACACGAAAAATTAATAGTGTTATGCTCAAGTTGACCCTTTTTTTAAAAAAATCTTTTATAAATTGTAGTAACTAATATAGTAGTAATATTTTATAAATAACAGTAAACTATTAAGTATTAAATTTCACCTAATAGCTTTAGGATTCCTGTTTGGCAAACATAAAATTGGAATTTTAATTGAGCCTTTTTTTAGACAAAATTTGCGTAGTAACCAGACGGAAGCCTGAATAATTATTATCTAACTACTTTCAAAAAAGCAATTTCGATTAAATTTTAAAATAACATCGGGTCGAAATTTAGTTCTGTTTCATGAAAAAATTATTTCGATGCGACAATGAAATTCAATCTATAAATTTTCACTGATAAGCTTCTAGAAAGCTATATTAATAATTTGAATAAATTTCGATTTTTTTTTAATTACACTGACTTTTTTTTATTAACTGGTAAAATAAATATTTGTTTTCAATATTTTACACCAGTGCTTTCCAAACTTTTTGTACCTGCGCCCCCCTCTTTGGAAAAAAAATTTGTTGTGCCCCCCTTAATTTTTCTAACAATCCAATTTCATAAACACTCATCTGATATTGTAATTTATTCAATGGGCTACAAAATAATATACAATATTATGTATAAAAATACATAAAAAATAATTATCTATTTTAAGAAATAATAATATAATGTAATAAAAACAAATCTTACAAAAGTAGAAAAAATAGAATTCAACATTAATACAACATTATAAAAATTTAATGTGAAGGGTGAGCTTGTTTTTCAGCACAAATTTTGTCAAACCGTGGTATCATTGAAGATATCGCGGTTCTCAGTTCCTTTTCAATCTTTAAGCAAGATCGATACTTTGTCTTTAAGACAGCTACTGCAGAAAACCCAGTTTCACATAAGTAAGATGTTACAAAGGGCAATAAAATTTCTAAAGCTTTATTTGTTAAAGTAGGAAACTCGTCCTTTACTCGTAACCAAAACGTGACAATATTATTTTCGTGTTGAAACATCTGCTTTAATGTGCTGTCACTAGATAAGTCAATTATCATTTCCTGCTCTGCTGTCGTAAGGCCAAAATCATCATATTTTTCAATCACAAACGGGTTTCTAATCCATTCATATTTGGACATGTCAAGATCTTTAAAGTAAAACGAGAATTGCTCCCTTAAACTGGTCAAGTGTTTATTAATAAGAACTTTACTTTCTTCTATTTCATCTGCAAGACAGGTAATTTTAAAAGTGGGAAACATGTCAAAGTTATTATTTTTCAAACTTATTATCCACAGTTCCAATTTTCTCATAAATGCAGTAACCTTGTCTTTCTGGACAAAAGCATGAATTTGAGGCCCTTGCATTGATTTATTTAAAGTACTGAGTCTTTGAAAAATATCCACTAAATACGCAAGTTTTACAAGGAATTTCGTGTCATAAAACAAGTTTGCTTCATCTCTATTATTATCAGTAAGGAATATGGCGATCTCTTCTTTTAGCTCAAACACCCTTTGAAGTACTTTGGAACGAGAAAGCCAACGTGCCTCACAATAATATAGAAGTGATGTATATTCTGAACCCATGTCATTACACAATTTTGCGAAAAGCCTTCCTCTTAATGGGCTATTTTTGATAAAATTTACAACTCTTATAATAACTTGAAATACTGTTAGTAAATCTTCACCCATATCTCTTGAAACAAGTGATTGTCTATGAATCATGCAATGCGTCCAACTTGCCCGAGGAGCCACCTTTCGAACTAGTGCCTGTAGAACAGCGTTTTTTCCTGCCATAGATGGAGCTCCATCTGTGCATAGTCCAACACAGTTCTCCCACAGAATGTTATATTCATTGAAAAATTTATCAATCATACTAAAAACTTCACTTGCTGTAGTATTGCCTTCAATAGGTTTACAGAATAACATGTCTTCTCTAACATCAGTTTCCACAACATATCTTACATATGTAATCAAGTGTGCATCCTTAAGAACATCTGTAGCCTCATCTACTTGCAACGCGAAAGAAGATAGTTTTACTTTTTCTATTAATTGATCGCAAAGATCTTCAGATATATCGGATATTCGTCTTCCCACCNAAGACTGCAGGTTAAAATGTGACTTTTTACGTGCAGAACCGTCAGTGGGTTAAGAACATCTGTAGCCTCATCTACTTGCAAGGCGAAAGAAGATAGTTTTACTTTTTCTATTAATTGGTCGCAAAGATCTTCAGATATATCGGATATTCGTCTTCCCACCGTATTATCTGCAAGTGGAATGATTTTAAGTTGATCAGCATATGATTCACCTAGCATCGTAGCTACCATGTCAATAGCTGCAGGTAGTACTACAGTTTCTCCTATTACATGGGGTTTTTTTGCATTTAGCAATTCTATAAGAAACCTTATAAGACGCAAGCAATGCTTTTTGTGTAACAGACATGGTCTTTGAAAACATTTCTTTTTGTTTATTTAAATTCTCCAATTTTCTTTGGAAAAATTCAATTGTCTTGCCAACGTGATCTGCATGTACGTTTTCGAGATGCCGTTTTAATTTATTTGGTTTCATGCTGTCTGAGGCCAAAGTATTTAGACACAGCAAACACATTGGTCGTTCTTGGCCATTAATGATTTTACATGTAAATCCAAATGATAAGTACATTGGATCATATTTTCTACATTTAGGTTTACTATTTTGCGAAGATGTTCCGCTATTTTCGTTACCTCTTCTTTTGCCGTCTGCTTCTGCTTCATTCAATTTTCTTTTCAACCCAGTTACGTATTTATCCATCTAAAAGGGTTATTATTTTAAATCAAATAAAAATACTTTATAACAGTTTTGAAATTTACTTCAATATTAATTTAGAAGTGTACCAAAGCGAGTTTGTAGAATTTGTAGACAATCTGCGTGGAAACGGTCGAGTTTAACCAACGTTTCTTAACGAAATGCCGCGTGTCTGCTCTCGTCTGGGCGCACGCATCCAGGTGTAGTCGCGTCGTCCGAGTTTGAAAAGCCCCGCAGTCGCGCGCAATTGATGATAGTTCCACACCAGATGTAAGCATAGCAAGAATGTAAGCATATTTTTTTTAAAGAAAAAGTTTCTAAAATTGGCTTAAGTAACATTGCAACAATGTTGATGAGAAAAATTGTATCGCAGGTGATGTGAAAAACAAAAACAATGGAGATGCGTGACAGTTGACACAGCATTGAAGAACATTTCGCTCTCTTTAATCAGTTCGATAAGAAAATTTGTCATTAAGATGCAAAACTTGTTTAGGAAAATTCTCGAATGAGTTAAAATTAAGTTGTTGCATTAATTCATTCTTTTTACGTCCTTTACAGTTCGTTTTCTTTTTCATCGAAACAGCAATAAACAGTGGTATTATGTTCTATTTATTTTCATTTCTCTAACTCCTTTCCTTTGTTCCTTTTTTCTTTCCTTTCTCCATTTTTTACTTTTTTCATTCCTTTTCCTTTTTTTCAATCCTTTTTTCTTTTCTTTCTTATATTTTTTCATTAACTATTTTTCTCGTTTCGTTTCTTTTCTGCTTAACGATTTAACAGTTAATCGCTAAGCAAGAAAGTTAAGCGATTAACAATTAATGCTAATATTCCACTTTCAACAAAAATCCAAGAAGAGAATGAATTTAAATATGTAAAGAATGTAAATATGTGAAGAAAGAATAAATTAAAAAAAATAGTGCGTGGAGCATAGAGTAGTGCTTGTGGTTGCCTCATCGTCTCGCCATGGAAAATGTATTTGTATTAATAATGTATGTGAATGTAATTTCAGAAGAGAAAACCTAACAATCAATTGATATTCACAAAAGACGAACCTTGACATAACCTTAAATCCGTCGCATTGTCAGTGGGATTGTTTTCACTCATTTTTTACAATTGTTATCCACTAAATTTGAAAATAAAAAATACTATCCTATTAAATTACACGTGTATCAAAACAAACTAAAAAAATATTTATAGAAAAAACAATTCGCGATCGCAACGAACTATAGGGGGCGTTGTTGTATGAGACGCATACCTGCGATTTCTATATGAATGAACTGTCATTCAGTTACTCTGGAGACGTCTTTAATGTAGCGTGTAGCATCGCAACGTTCCTTCTTTAATGTGGCTTATTAAATTTAAAAAAGAAAAATGTTTGATATCCTTACTTATACAACCGAAAACAAGATGGTATCTCTGTTTTTTTTAAGAAGGAACATCCAAAACACATCTGAAAAATATTTGTAAATAAACTGAAAAAAATATTTATCTTCTTATTAGAGTTAAAACCTAATGCCTGAGAAATAGTTTTACTAAATTTAATGATATAACCTGAAAGGCCTATTTAAACTTTACATTCCATAGTGTCAAGAATCATATTACTTCAAACATTAAAATAAGCAAAAAGTATACATAAAAGCTTCATAATTTTATGTAATTTAATTTTGTAAATAAAGTTTTTTGACAAGTAATTTTATCAAAAAATTTTAAGTTTTAATAAAAATCATTATTTAGAAACTGAAAAACGTAAAGTAAAGAATGCTTACGATACAAAACAAAAGAAAAACAATTCTAAAAATTCCTTATATTAAAATAAACAACTTTGATGTTTTTTCTTTTTTGATTCATAATCGGACGTAGAAAACCATTCTATAGAAAACTATCATCACGAAAAAAACTACTTAAAAGTAAAATTTTTTATTTTATAAGAATTAACACTTACCTGCTTCATAAATCAAAAGAATTCCAAAATGATTTGTTCTTCGATTTTTGTTACCATTTTTAGTGCTACGAAAATGCGTCTTTGGGATTTGCCGAAAATAAAACAAGGCGCAATTTTATTTTTTCTGGAGCGAAATATTTTGCCCATTGTCCACCGAAATCCGATAAACTACTTTGATTTTAAATAAAGTATTTCGTTTTATGATTTGTCACAAAAATTTTAGGTGTAGATTGGCGGCACTTTAAAACAGCAAAATCTGTAGCTGCTGTGGCGTTAATACAAAAGTACCGAATTTTTATTCATACTTTTCTGAATCATATTACTTGAAACATTAGAATATGCAAGAAGTATACATAAACACATAATGTTATACCATTTATGTTTTCAAAAAAAGTATTTTGACAACAATTTTTATCAAAAAATTATAAACTATAAAACGGAAAATAAAGAATTCTTAGGATAAAAAACGATTTTAAGAATTCTTTACATTGAAATAAAAACTTTCATATAGTTTCTTTTCTTATTATTCTTTTAGTTCTTAATCAGACGTAAGAAACCATTCTGTAGAGAACTATCATCAAATAAGAAAAAAAAGTTTTACAAGCTAATTTTTTATTATAAAAATCATAACACTTACCTTCTTTATAAATCCGTAGAGTTCCAAATGAAATGTTCTTCGTTTGAAAGTTTTATTTTCAAATAATATGTGCATAGATTATCCCTTTATTACTTTTAGATAACATACCACACATCAAAATTTTATAATTGTAAGATCTCGATATGAATTTGAATATGTAGCTTAAAAACAGAACAGCTGAATTCTAGTTGAAATTATCTATTCTTTCAAAACTAAGAAATACTTACCAAGAAAACGATAAAAAATTTATTAATCATCAGCACAAATGACACTATTTCAAGTAATTTGGTTGATTCTTTATTGTTGTTTTCCGAATTATATAGATACAGAAATATATACTGTTCTATAACAAAGAAGAATTCTATAACTATTGCAGTTCTTGACGTTCTGAATTCACATTTCTTTATTGGAATGACGAAAGCAATGTTGACTTCATTTTAATTTGTAATGAATTGAAGACAGAAAAAATTATTTTACCGTAATATACACATCTGTAACAGCAAGTGATCATGAAATTGTAAGTTATGTTGTTGGTAATAGAAAGGTAAAAATTATTGAGAAATTGTTCTTCAAATGCTTGGCGTGTTCTGCTTCAATGTTTGGCATGTTCTGGTTAGTTTTTTCAAGTTCTTCAGCTGTTCCTTAGGGAAATTTTGATTTTTATTTGCTGCTAAGAAAATGGCGTCCGTCATGGCCAATGATTTTTATGGAACTAAATGAAAACGTGATAAATTAATGTCTGATATTTACAGGCTCCCGATAGAGGGCGTACTCGAGCGTTGCGATCGCGAATACTTTTATGACTTTTATTATTTTTATGCTAGTGAGAGCCAAAACAATATGGAAATGAATGAGAGAAAACTAGATCCTACCACGTGATTTCCTGGCCAATAAAAATGTTTCGTTAAACGTTTAACACAATCTTGTTGGAAGTCGCATAAGAAGTATAACTTCAAAAAAATAACTATTATTACCTGCTAGCAGTAATGTTCAATAAATATTCTGTTACAAAAAAAAATTCATAAGGAATCCGATTGATTTCTTATGAAATTTGATAATTTGATTAACTCTATTATTAATATTCAACTGCTACAAGAAAATCAAACAGTAAATTGTAAATGAGGTTAGTAACTGTATTTACAATGTTTCAAATTCATATAAATTTTCTCTTCTTTTTTTTTTCTTGACGATCGAAATTGTTGATCTTGTTAAAGGATAGTCGCAATCTGTAAGATATGGTTCCAGACTTAATACCTTAGTTGGGGGGCCCCTTATGTTGATTTACATTTTGTGCATTAAATTTAAAAAAACGATGTTTTCATTTGTTAAACTCGTTTTTCCAGTGGAAATTTTGCTAAGAGCTAATCATTAATCAGTTAAGCTAATCATTTCTTTATTTCTAACTTTTAATTCGCAAAGGAGAGGGGGGGGGCTCACCGTCGGACTCTGCAATGACCCAATTCTTCTTTCTCTTTTTCCTTTTCCTTTTCTCCTTCTTATCAGATTAAATTTTGAATCAGATCAGAGCTGTGATTGTAAAAATTGTCGCTGTTGTCGTAGGCTATA